GGTTTTATTCGTAATAAACCTAGATGCATCTGTCCAGGTTTGCGCCTGTACTGGTGGCGTCCGAGGAACGCCGTTGCTATGAGTTTGAGCGGAAGTTGAGGCGGGGCCTCATTCACTTCTCTAGACAAGCGTATGAGCTCTGTCTACGGAGTTCATCCCCTATCTCCTCCCAAACAAAATCCGGTTTAGAGGTCCATCCCCTATCTTCCCCTAAACCGCGGAGTACATCCCCTATCTCCTCCTCTACACTTAACGTATATAAACACATTGGTTCTATATACAATCACACATTACACACAATTAATGTATTCTATTAACCGTCAAGTTCCATGACATGTTCCATTGATTAGTTTCTGTTTACCTAATCATCATGCATTGTCTACAACGATCTCGACTATCCTCCACCGATAGTCCAAAGCAGTTATTTCTAAAATAGAAAATAAATGCACAATGGATATTCAATCAACATTTCTTTTCCTCATTTCTCACCAATTAATTATCCCAAACAACTACCCAAATAGCATCACTACCCCGTTGAGTCCTCGGAAGACCTACAACGAAGTCCATAGTGACATGCTCCCACTTCCACTCGGCAATAGGCAAGGGTTGCAACAAACCTGCTGGCCTCTGATGCTCGGCCTTCACTTGCTGGCAAGTAAGGCACTTCGATACGAAAACAGCCACATCTCTTTTCATACCCCGCCACCAAAACTGGCGACCCAAAATTTTCAGATTAAAATGTAGCCCTCGACGATCAACAACTTTTTTGTAAAGGCCAAAGGTGAGTAAATCACTCCTACTAGATCAAAACCTAGAGAGAAGGTAGAGTCTAGAGTGAGAGGCTCAACAATGGTGATTTTGGAAAAGTAAGAGAGAGAAGAGAAAGTGAAAAAGTGATTTGAAGAGTCACAAATTCGGGACTTTAACCCAGGTCTCCGCTCGAGCGTAAAACACCCCGCTCGAGCGGCCACTCACAGACTTACGCTCGAGCGGCCAACCTCTCGCTCGAGCGCAGAATGCACTCGCCCAGCACTTTTGCAGAACCAGGCCTCCGCTCGAGCTCCCAATCCCTACGCTCGAGCTCACAACACTGCACAACAAGATACTGGATGGATGTATTCCCCGCTCGAGCGCCAACACCTCCGCTCGAGCGGACAGGCCAAAAATCTAGGCAACTAGTTTTGGTTTCTAAACTCAACCAACCTGAAACAAACCTGCCCAACACATCCCATAACTCAAATACTAAGTAAAAAGGATGCAAACAAGATGATAGACAACTACCAACATCCACGGACACATGTCCGGATCACGGTATAACAAGGGTAAACCCGGGATCGCTATAGTTCCTAATGTCCTAATTTTCCCCCTGTTCCATAACCCCTTCCATGGGTTTGTCTCCTAGGTCTCTTACTATATACTCTCTGCATATCTTGCGCTGCTGCACGTACGACTCCCTCGCCCGCTTCTGTAGAAGCTGGCTGCACATCACCAATGGCTGCAGTACCATCATTTGATACCACCTCCGGCAAACCTTCACATACGGCACTAAGCTGTGAAACGCCATCATCCGCTACATTATTGTCATGGTCTATTGCTTGGCGTCGCCCTCGCCCTCGGCCTCTACTTACACCACGACGGTCGCTACAACCTCTACCCCTACCTATCCCTCTGGTAGGTGCATGGACCGGGCCCTCCCCCTCCCCGTCAATGTGGAAGTCATGGGTAATGAGTGGATCAACATGGTAGGTGAAGGTTATATGTGGTGTAGGAGATGATAGTGGGGTAGGAGATGATGGTACTGTGAAAGGGTCGGGTGCGGTCAATGTCGACGCAGAGGGAATCATAGTAGACAGACATGTAGTAGACAGTGGTGCTAAGGGAGTCACCGGGGTACCAACCGCTGTCCTATATGGGGGTAGTGACCAGGAGGGGTCCAATATATGGCCATGGTGTGTAGAAGTATGTTCAGACATTAGAGGATCTACCTCAGAGGCAAACTGGGATGTGTAATTGGTACATTCAGGTGGGGAAGTCTGCGGTGTATGCATTGCTGTAGATGGACCATGAGGGGACAAGCCCATGGAAGGCCCCTCACCGAAGTGTTCCATATTGAAATAGTCCGATTGATGTGCATGACGTGAGGTAGGATGCGGTGGAGGCATTGATGTCGATGGCTCAGTGGATGGCATATTCGGGTGCGGCATTGATGTCACTGTAATATCTACCCCTATATAAGGATCCTCGCCAAAGTGGCCGAAATCTAGTCGGTCACGTCGGTGTGCCTGTTGCAAACCATCGTACAATAACTCCCGTATCTCGGCAATGGCATCCAATCCCTCTCTACCATCGCGTGTAATATGGGCAGCGTCTGCCATGTGATATGCCCTCGCAACTCTACGAACCTGTAATGTAATGGTAGCTGTGTCACATAACCATCAATGCCAAATAACAAACATACACAAACTTAAGCAAATGTTGTTTTGGAGAATATAAAGAACTTACCAATCCCTCTAAACTACCCCCGATGCCTTGGTATCCGAAGGCAGCAATGTCACTCGGATTACTAAGTACTATACGTGTATGACGGCGAAACCATAACATGTATGGGTCCGAAGATGTAAGCACTTCATTGCTCCTCTCAGCATGGACAATGGTGTTGCGTCGGTTGTTCCACTCACCAATAAATGTCTGGTATTCCTTTGCTCAATCAATGGCCATTTTGCCATGCCTATCTCTAAAATGCATAGCCAAGTGGGCGTCAAAGCGATCAGGCACACTCTGAACTCGTCCAAATTGTCTAAGCACCCGATCGGGGAGATGCCAGTCAATGATATCGAAGCATATAAGTGGCACTTGTGCCATCCATATGTCTCGACCAATGGTACAATACGATGGGAAGCTGGTCATGATGTCATCCTCCGTCTTGTAAGGCTCCCATATGAACTGCAATAGCAATGCAATAGTTTAGAGATCTATTCGTACAACGGAGGTTGACAAACAAAAAAATGGGTAAATTCACATGAACAAATTACAAACCTCCCCCTCCATCATGCGGTCGAACTGGTCCCGGAAGATGACACCGACATTAGTCGATATCACCTCATGGCTGAAGGGAACCCTCCACCTGCAAGCTCGCGGGCCAGGTGGTAACAGCTAGTCGCCCTCCCCTATGGCACGCTTGCCAGCAGCAATGTTCGACTTCCGACTAGGGGCGATCCTGCTCAATCTCTCCCACGCCCAAACCTACAATGAATGATGCCATTATTAATTTATTACACTAGGTATTTTACAAAACATGACAATTCAAAATATTAGATAAAAGTACAAGTCATTCCAACTCACTTGTAATAGCACAAGTGGCCCAGCCATTTCCTTTGTGTCAGGCTTAGTCGTCCAACACAACATCCTATACAAACATGCCAATGTGGCACCACCCCAGCTGTACTCCTGGATACGGTCAAAGTCTCTAAGTAGTCGCAAAAACATCATCTTCACTATATTTTGTGACTTATCGGGGACGAGGACCCCCCCAATAAGCCACATAATATAGGCTCGAGCATAATGATGAACCGTCTCATCGGATGCATCATGTGGAAGGTGACGGAAATGCTCTGATATCCATTTCAACTTAAGCGATGATCCTATGAAGTCTTCTTGTGTAGGTGCTGCTCCTAACAACTCCACACATAGCGCTATCAAATCATCCAACTTATTTCCAAGGTCTTTTCTAATGACTGCGTGTCCGTCAACCGGTAGGCCAAATAGAATAGCCACATCTTGTAATGTAACTGTGGACTCTCCAACAGGAAAATGAAATGTGCGCGTCTCTATGCGCCACCTCTCTACGAGAGTTGTAACGAGATGGTGGTCCAATCGAATAGGTCCAATCCGATACACCCCGTAGAACCCCGCACGGAGTAGGCAACGTAGGACTCTATGGTCCAAGGCGGTGTCCCATAAGCCTGAATCAGATCGTCGGCATTTCAATTTCGGCTGATCTTTCGCCTGCACAAGACAACGTTGTGTGTAAGAGACATAATGCTTGTACAAATGACAATTGAATTTTCATAATGAACCCATCTTCTATTAACTGAAACAGTGGGTGAGATAACCAACATTTTAGTGGTGCATAGTGCGTAAGTGGTGTAAATGTACAAAGATAAATACATACAGACACAGATTTGCAGTGTCATGACATAGAAATAAAAGGCTCCATCAAAACTAATATAAGTTTTAGAATGTTCGGTACACCTGTTAACGAAGTTGGGTTGTACCCTTCACTGTAGACTGCAATGGATGTTTATGTGGTTTTCAGTTAAATTAGAAGGGCGTATATAGCGATCCCGGATTTACTCTTGTTGTACAGTGATCCGGACATGTGTCCGTAGATGTTGGTAGTTGATTATTATCTTGTTTACATCCTTTCCTACTTTGTATTTGGGTTACAGGATGTGTTGGGCAGGTTTGTTATAGGTTGGTTGTGTTTGGGATCAAATGGTTGCTGCCCATAATTTTGGTCCTTCGCTCGAGCGAGGAGTTTGTCGCTCGAGCGAGCTCTGTGTTTTAGATCCTTCGCTCAAGCCAGGGTTTCTTTGCTTGAGCGAACGATTGCGTCTGGTACTGGACCTGAACACTGTAATTTTTGGCTCGAGCGAGCTTTCCTTCGCTTAAGCGGTCTGGTTGTTCTTCGCTCGAGCGAGCATTCTGTCGCTCGAGCGTGCTTCTAAGTTTTTAGCTTGAGCGAGGCTTTCTTGGCTCGAGCGAGGGTTTTCTATGTCTGGTCGCTCGAGCGACCAAGTCTTCGCTCGAGTGAGCCTGTTTTATATCAGCGGACAGCAACGTTTTTAAACATCACTTTTTCTTTCCCTTTTCTTTTAAAACCCCAAATCCGAGACCCTCTCTCTCTAAGATTTGATCTCCCTAGAGTGTGAATCTACCCTAGGGCCTTTGTTAAAAAGATAGAGGGCATCGAGAGCTTTGATTTAATCTGAAAATCTTTGGATTTGGAGCACGTTGGGTTTTGGTCTTCATCTCCATTTTGGCTCTAACTTCGAGGTAGGGATATCCTACTCCTCTTTATGAGCTTTGTCTTTAAATTTTAGCATTTTGATATGTTGGGAGTTGTTGTGTAATTTTGAGAAAACTTTGGGCCTTTGTGTAATTTTACAAAAGTTGGGGTTCTAATTATAATAAACCTAGATGCATGTTTGGCATAGAGAAATGGAATAAATATTGAGACATTGATGAAAATGGAACCTAAGGGTTGAATGTTAATTATGGAAAATGCCCTAATTACATTGGTTAATTAATTTGTATAATTAATTGTGAGAAATGAGGAATTGATTTGGAAATGTTGAGATTGGGAATGTATGGGATTGAATGGTGTAATTGGATTATCTAACGCTCACCTAGTTGGAATGTTGATTATATATCCATTTGTTGCATTTATATTCCGTATAGAAATAACTGCTTTGGGTTATCGGTGGAGGATAGTCTTGATTGTTGTAGACAATGCATGATGATTAGGCAAACTAAAACTAATCACTGGAATGTGTCATTGAGTATGACGGTTGAAAGAATACATTAACTTTATGTATTGATTGATGATGTGTATAACAATTGTTTATATGCATTGTGTTGTGTTGGAGGAGATAGGGGATTTACTCCACGGTTTAGGGGATGATAGGGGATGGACCTCTAAACCGGATGTTGTTTAGGAGAAGATAGGGGATAGACTCCATAGATACAGCTCATATGCTTATCTAGTGATGTGTTGACACAGCTCATACACTTGTCATTGGAAGTGTGATATTGCTCTTATGCATATCTATGGAAGTGTTGATATGGCTCATATGCTTATCTGTTAATGTGTTGATATAGCTAGTATGCTTATCTGTTATAAAAATGGGAAAATGTTTAATATGAGTCACTGTCTCATATAAATTGTTGGCCAGGTTCTGAGCCATAGTTATGAATTGAGAATTGTAAAGAAATGGAAAATGAAATGTAACATGGACTTGTATGTCATGAAACGGTAATGTAAAATAAGTGAATGGATTCGGTGTTAGCCATCTATCAACTGCTAATCTTTTAGTCACTGTTCATAGTTGGTTTAGTGTATTTCTACTGGGCTGTGGCTCACCCTATATGGGAACATCATTTTCAGGTACAGGTAGCATGCCACCTCCAAGGACATAGCTTGGGAGGCTAGACGCGGACATACTTTTTGTTGTCTTATTTCCTTTTGATGTATTACATGTAAATTCAAACCAAGGGCTTAATGTGTAATTGAATTAGTACTCTCTTTTTGTAACCAAGTGTTAACTTGGAAAGTTGTAAGCCCTTAGGGCATTTGCTTTTGTTGTTAACATGTAATACTTTTGTAATGGAACACTCTGATGAATAGAAGAATATGGATCTTTTATATATAAGTGCTTGTCTATATTGTGGGTTTAATGTTATTATTTTGAGGGCGTGACAGCGTAAAATATAACTAAGCCATCATTTCATCATTGAGATAAGAATTAAATAAGTTGGGGATCAAATGAATACAATGAAATATTACAGACTAATATAACATATAATGAATATATTTTGAAGAGTTTAAAGTCCTTTATTTTTAAATGAAAAATGTCGCTCAAACTATATTAATGCAAGTTGTAGTATGAAATAAGTTAAAAAGTTATTTAAGTAAACGAACAAGCTAAAATAGTCACTTTGTCAATAATTGAAATTGTTTGTGTTCTTATTTTATATAATTTTTAGGACAGTAAAAATATAAAATAAGAAATTGCTGGCAAGTAGAAGATTATGTTATTCAGAATTGGCAAAACGCTTCACTGATGAATCAACAAATAAGAAATCATAACATATTAAGTGAATTATTTATTATTTCTTAATTATTTAAAAAAAGTGAATCAACATATTTTTCTCCTAGAGTACTACATAATTAGCCAGCTAGCAAGGATAATTATTGAGTCATCTTAGAGTATCATGTGGTGTTATTTATTTAATGTTCCCAACTACTTACGTGATGACAATTTTTACAAGAAATAATGTTGACTCACTTTATTAACTAGATAGAAGACAAGGAATGAACAACTAGGCCTTCGTTTGGCATGGCAAAAAGACAAAATAGGCTAAAAAGCCAATAACACAAAATGTTACATCTAAACAATATTCATTTCATTTTTTCTTTTACAAAATTTTTGACTTTTTTGGCTATTTTAGCCTGGGGCTAAAAAGCCTGGTTTGGGAAGGGCTTTTTAGCTTTTTTGGCTTTTTGGTGAGGTGTCTTCCTGTTCATTTACCAAAGTGCCCTTGTTGTTGTTGTTGTTGTTTTTTTTTTTCTTATTTTCGGTTTGGATTTGGCCTTTTTTGCTAACTTTTTTTTCTTTTTTTTTTTTTTTTTGGTTTTGGGTTTGGTTTTGGGGTTTTTTGTTTCTTTTTTTTTTTTTTTTTTTTTTTGGGTTTGGATTTTGCATATTTTTGGGTTTTTTTTTTTTTTTTTTTTTTTACAAATTTGGCTTTTTGTTGGAAAAAAAAAATTTGTTTTTTTGTTTTGGTATTTTGTTTTTCAATTTTGGATTTTTGTTTAAATTTATTTATTTATTTATTTTTGGATTTGGCATATTTTGGTTATATTTTTTTTTTAATTTTTTTATGTTATCTTTCGATTTCGCGTATTTTGCTTTTTTATTTTTATTTTTGGGGGTTTGGATTTGGCTTTTTTTTTTGTGTTTATTTTCTTTTCTTTTTTTTATATTGGGTGTCGATCTGCCGACTTTTGATTAATTTGTTTATTTTTATTTTTTTTTTATTTTGGATTTGAATTTGCCATATTTTGGTTCTTCTTTTTTATTTTAATTTTGTTATGTTGGAGTTTCGATTTTGCCTTTTTTTTTGTTTTTTTT